ACTGAGTCATTTCTTGGTAATCCCACAAAAACTAGCAAGAGTAGGTTAGACTTTGAGAAAATGCAACCACTAAATCCATCTCCCTTCTATCAGCGCTAATCTGACAAATGCCAGAAGCCGACTTTTCAGTGACTCGCTCGCTAACTTCTGACTACGTCTCTGCCTCAGCAGCGTATGTCTCTCTGGCCGAAGACTTAAGGAGGCCCAGACAGGGTACGTGCAGGCAGGTAAGTTGGTTAGAGACAGACAGGTACGCTGACCAATCATTTCATTCGGTCAGACACAAGCTTTCCAACTTTAAGTGAAACTTTGCCAAGTTTCGTTAGATGGGTCAGGGCGATGACAAGCCGAAAAGTGGTTGCAAGTATGGTTATACTTTTCAAAATGCTTGCTGCAATATCTATGATGCAAAATGCAAAAATGGTCACGTGGCAAACACACAGCAGCTCACATTAGCACACCTGCAGACAATACTGAGAAAGTTGAAGCATCTAATAATTCAATTAAAAAGATGGATTCAGTTGTTATTGGAGATAACTGGGTTGATATTAGCTCAGCATATTTAGCCGCTCCAGCCAACACTCTGCCACGCTGCATGAAAATTTCTGTTCATTTCCTTATTTTCATTTTGTGACAGCATGACACATGAACTCTGTAGAAAAGGTTTCATAACAAAATTCCAGCGACTAATCAATCCTTGAAAGATGCTTGCTGTTTTTATGTGTTCAGTGACGCAGCTTCGTTCTCCATCTGGAAGTGGACTCGTTTCTCTTAATGCAGCCTAATGGAAACACACATAATTTACATTTGGTTTTTGCAGGACTTTGGTTCAAACTGCTTGACAGCTGGATGGAAAGCGCTCAAATGGCTGAGGTAGTGCGCATGTTGATGACAGGAATGTATTTCATGCCAAAGATAAAAGAGCAATATTAGTGTAGCATAAATCTCGGTTGTTAAAAGAGACAGAAAGAGAAAGCGAGAGATTATTGTAGTCTCCAGTTGGATTTGTCACATTTAGTGGTCATTACAACCTAATTAGAGCCAGACGTTGCTTTTTGTAAGTGTTCGCGCGTGGCACACAACATGTAAAATGGTGCAGCAGAGATCCTCTTACTTAGATCGCAGAGGAGACTTATTAGGTGAGGGCTCTGGAGAGGATCACGCTGAAATCAAGAGACCCCATTTCTCTGTTAGTGTATTTGGTACGTGTGTCCGCGCAAACCAACCAGATATGCCGATTTATACTCACGCACACAAACATACACCCATGAACAAGTTATGAGTGCCTTTGTTTATGACACCACCTGCACACTGCTCCTGCTGTGAATGAGCTGTATTGGCCAACATATTTAAAGATTGTTTGTTTTCCATCATCCTCACATCTTAATAGTGAGAAAACAATACATTTTGATATTTTTCATCAACAATTTGATAAGTGATTGATTACTGAAGCCTTTATTAAAGCAGAAATGTCAAAGATTTGCTGGCTCAAGCTTCTTTAACGTGAGGATATGCTGCTGCACCCTGTATTTAACTCTCCATTTCTTTTTAAATGCATTTTTGTACTGTCTTATGCTGCTTTTACAATTTGTTATGATGCTTGCATGTAAAGTACTTTAAATCGCCTAATAAATGATGCAAAAACACAAATGTGGCCAAGGAAGGTAATGTCCCACACATATTTAATGCCTGCCTTGAAAGGTTGATAATATTTATATATGTATTTGGTTATATGATTGACCAAATGACAAGATTTCAAGAGCTTAACAGGAGAACGTCTCGAAAGTTTAATCATTAATAACAAGTCGAGGACCCACTCCTTGGCTACAGAGTAATTCACACACATCACCTCTTTGTCTCTTAATGTTTGCTACTGTTAAGACTTATGAGTGTCACACATGTGAGTATCATGCATCGCAAACAGTTACACCGTGTGACTGCCCTAGCATGTCTTTAACTCAGCTGACTGTCCTGAGGCGACGTTGTCACATGTCACATATTTGCTTTAATGTAAATGCTTGAACAATACTTAGCTTTTAAATTATTTAAGTGACTAGTAAGATTTATCTTCTAACCCACAATAATCTAATTCATAAAAATAAATATCATAATATTGCTGGGTATCACTCTAATGATTGACTAGTTAACAATCAAACATTTTCCTGAACTTAAATAGACATCACCAAGAAGAGCTGTTTCTGTGTCAAGTGTCCAAATATGGTTTCTGTAATTTTAGGTAGCTCTTATCACACTGATGTATGTCCAAGTTTCCATTTTTCCAGAAAGTTATTTGAAGCTTTGAAAACGTGGTGAATTGTCATGTTTGACAGCTGAGAGTGACTCACAGCCTGACAACCACACCGCGTTCGTATCCAGGCTGTTTTGGCTTTATTTCTGGATAGTGGGAGGATGTATACACGTGTGGTCCACCTTTATAAACAGTCTATGAGATGGAAAAAAAACGCCACCTTCTACTTATTCAAACACGGTGCTTCTCCCACAACTTAAACAAAGCAGTAATAAAGTGTTAGAAAAGGGTTTTACTTGGAAACTGGCGACAAAGCTGATGAGTTACACACTGCTTTAAGAGTGTGAAGTAAACTAAAGATGACCTGTGTTCCAATCCAAATATTCTGCTGGGACGGAGGGTGTGTGTAACATACTGAGTAACTGAGTATATACACATCATGGAGTTTCTGTATAGTTTGAATACTATGGCCTTTATGTCGGACACAAGCAGGACATTGCGCAAATGGCAACCTCCATTCTTCCCATGAGTCATTTATCATAAGCACAATAATACTGTCACTTCACCAAACATTCACTGTTGTGCTGTGAATGCACTGAGGAACTAATTATTCCTTATATAAGAGTGAGTATTTAAAATGGCTGCCACAGGCTTTGGGACTTGACTGATGTATCTTCTGAAGCCACAGGCTCTCAGTCTTGCAGGGAGCGCTGGTTTGGCTCGGCACTGAGCCTTGACGGGTCACAGACAGACCGTGGCCAAGGCCGTCTCTTCCTCCTCCACACTCTCCCATTCTTCAGATCTCTCTCTCCTCTGTGTTGCACTTATTCACCCACATGTAAGTCAGAACTGATGCTTTAGAAAGTATTTCACTCCACGCATTAAAACATGACTGAACAGGGTTTGAGTGTTTTGTCTGCACTACATATTCTTTATTTCTTCCACTCCCAATCTGTTTACTACTTTTTCTGCCTCCTCTTTTGCATTCTTCTCCGCTCGCTCTCTCCCGTCCTTTTAACCATCTATCTTTTTTTCTCCCCGTGGGCTGAAATTTATACAACTTAAAAGAATGGAGGGTGGAAAGAGAGAGAGCAGCTTTTTTTTCTCCGTCTGGACAGCTTATCCAGAGGTCAGTGTGGAAATGTGATGAATGGTAATTTCAGAGCAGAGAGACGGCAAGAGAGAGACACAGAGCTGGAAGAGAATAAAAGATAGTAGCTGAGTTTCCATCCAAGTATATTTATGAGAACTGTACTTTACTGCCGTTCTTCTGCATGTTGGTATTTTTCATTATATATACACGCTTCCAATTATTTAGTGTTGTAATTGTTGGCTATGGTGTTTAATTTTCCACCCTTGTAATGTTCATCCTGGCTCATAAATACATGTAAAAAAAAAACAGCCATTGCCCACGTCATATTGTTGTTCATATCCACAGTAATATGTTAAGTATGTTGTCATAATTATTCTTTTAAACATCTACACGAAATTGGTTGTTTTAGCTACCCAAAGTAAGTATGGATCAGAAAGGGTTTTTTTCGTCTGAGTTTGTCCGACGACATTGTTTGTTTGTGTTTGTGTCAGCGCGAGAGACGAGCTGAATCATGAATGAGTGTGTGCACACGCATGCATACACTAGTGCGCAATTTGATATTGCCCTTATCTTAAAAAAACTTTCTTTTCCATCAAGTTCTGGGTCTATCATACAGAAGCAACGCAATTCATTTCTAGTAAACAACTGCTGGACAAACGTGATCATTATAAGCGGCTGTGTTTGATATTCACTCACTGCTAAGTTTTTTTTAATTTTATTTTCTAACACTTAAAAAGCAGATAAGATTGTAAAATGGAAAAATGTATTGGAGAAAAAAAACACTTTTCCCAGAAAACCTGGGCTGTCATTTCCAGACACAGACACTGGGGTCACCGGAGGAAGCTGAGGCTGCGCACTGGTTCTAATTAAAAACTGCATCATAAGGCCTTGTGTCTCTCTCTCTCTCTCTGTGTGTGTGTGTGTGTGTGTGTGTGTGTGTGTGTGTGTGTGTGTGTGTGTGTGTGTGTGAGGGGATGTAGAACAAGGAGTTGTGGCTTATTGTTATGGTGAGAGGGTTTTGTGAGCCAATCATAGCCACCTGCTTTCCATCACAGGCATCTGCTCCGACATTAAACACACACACACACGCTACAATAGAGACGTTAGAGTTGTCACTAAGTGTCAGGGTGATGCAAGGCTCAGTGTGGACAGGAATGACTATCCTTACTGTAAGTGACTGCAAAGACACGTCTCAAATGGATTCCATGTCCCACTGTATTATCAGACATGACTTTCAGGCAAGTGGAGAGTTGTTAACTTTTGACTTTTGACGTCTTACAAACTATATACTTTGTTTTTAGCACCATCAAATGTACTGAGAGTTGTTACCAAATCTTGGTCTCTCTTTACATATTCTTTGATTGGACAGTTTCTGATGGAATTAAATGTTGGCTACTTGATTTCATTAGAGATCATTGGAAGCTTCCTTTGAATAAAAAAATGATACATACTCAAGTTAGATTTAAAATCTTTGTACACTACACCTAATACTTATTTTCTTCCTCATGCCCTTCTTTCTTTCGCTTCTCTTTTTTAACATTTGATTTGAACACACCAAAGAAGTCAATGATATTTTTGTCTACTGGTCGTGGTGATTACTGACTTTTTACTCAGAGATTACAGGTAACATGTATCTTGGGGTCAGAGTAGGAGTCTTACCAGCCAGGGATGAGGGATCGCAGGGAGGGGCATCTGAGGTGGGGCTGGCAGACCACTGTGGATCTCTGACTTGAATGAAGGCTCTGAGGAGAAGGAAAAAGAGACAGAGGAAGAGGAATCAGAGGGAGTTCTTCATTATATGTACATGTGGGCGCAAGGAGGAGGGACTTAAGTCGTTATTTTAAAGTTCAATGGGAATGTTTCCTTTCACCATCAGGGTGTGTCCCAGTGATCATTTATTTTAGCTTCATTATGTGTTTGAGGTTGAGGAGGGTTACTGCAATGACAGCTTAGGGTTGGGCTGATGGACGATAGCCGACAGTCGTCATTAGGGTGCAAAGCTCTGTGAGTATTTGCATGTCCATTTGGAGAGTCCCCGACAATGACGAGACACAAAATACTAAGATGTCACACTCTATTGAATTCCTTGGAACTGCTTGGTTTACACATGGTCGCACAGCGGTGTTACCGAGCGGTGGTGCTGACAGCCGTGTGCACACAAACTGACAACAGCCAAGCTTCATTTAAGCCTGTCACCAAGTTAATTATATATAGCTGATACCACCAACCATTGACTGTTTCTTATTTTGAATTGCGACAACGACTCTCAGCAACAACACTCGCTTTTATTATTTAACTTTGAATTGCTTATGCAAATTTTGCTGTGGATTGTGAGTGTGTGAGCTTCATAAAACTCATTTTGAAACGATTTAATGACTACTGGATGACTTAGTTTAAAAACTGCAGAAAAGCAATGTTGGCTTTAGTTTGAGCATTGGATATTGTAGAGCCATTTTCAGATGATAATGTATTCATTCCACTGCGGAGATCCCGTGTTTTTGTTTACAGCACATCCACACTGACATTGGCCCGTATCACTTTAAGTTCTCAAAACTCGTTGTCTTTCTAAGTTGACATCTTTGTTTGTGTCCTCTACAAGCATGACACGTGTGTTTCAGCCTGAGATATTTATCTTTCAGTTTTCCACCGTGTTAGAAAACAACATCAACGCGCCCAGTCACTCACAGACCATTACAAACAACAGGGGGAAACATCTCAGACTTATCTAAGCAGGCATCTGGATCAGTACATAGAATTCAGGGTCAGTGAGTTTCAGCGGTGATACATATTAACAACATGTCATGAAATGTCGCAGTTACTGTCAGCACCCGGTAATAAACTCGTGACATCTCCGGTAACAGCAAGATGGGTCACTTCTTATTGAGATCTTTAATGTCAGATTTCACTGGGGGCAGCCTCACTATCAAAGTTGTGTGCAGTTGTGGCTCAGAGAGTAGTTTGCGACGTCCACAAACCAGAGGGTTGGTAGTTTGATCCCAGGCTCCTCCACTCTGCATGCAAAAATGTTGTAGGGAAGAATATGCCCCTGACGGCTGTGCTGGCAGTGTGTGATAAAAGTATGTATGTGTGTGTGAATGGATTTGCATTTACCACTAAAAACATGGACTGTGATAATCCAGTCTCTAATAATAAATGAGATCTTTAAGAAGTTTTGATTGTAATGTTGCTCACTAGCTCCCTCTCCCTCTAACACATGGACCCTATCCTCTTTCTTGTTGGTCACTTTATCATGCAATACGACTCTTTGTCTCTTTATGTGACTATACTGCTGCTCAGAGCAGACAACCAGGGCAGGCGGCTGTGGCTATGAGGATAGAGTGTGTCGTCCACTAACCGGAGGGTCAGACGCTCGATCCCAGTCGCCCCCATGACCCCTGACGGCTGTGCAGGAAGAGCGTGCAACTCTATTGTGTTTCTGAGCAGTGCTGTTGCTTGTAATCTCACCTTTGTCCGAGAGGACTCTGTGGAGGATTTTGGAGAGGTGCATCTTCTTCTCTCGGACCCCGGCGCTCAGGTACTCCCTGTCCAGCAGGTCCAGGAACAGACGAAGCTCACACACCAGCTCCTCCATCGCTGCAAGACAAACACAGAGAAGAAATTATTACTTTGGACACTAGTGATGTTTATTCCATCTGCTACATTATTCACTACAGACACTAACAACTCACAACCTGCTGGAGGCTCTGGATTATCTAAATATTAATCATGGGTAACAATTTCTCTTTGAACTGAAAAGCTGTGCACGCACAACGGAGGTAAGAAGCAGCTGGAACACTGGGACAAAGTCAATGTTTTTCTAGTTGTAAATACATCTCAAGTGTTGGTTATGACATCACTAGTCAAAACAACACATCCACAGGTCAAAGTCTTAAACTTCAGGTTTCGTCTCATACAAGTTGAAACAAGTCCATTAAAACATGTTCAGTTCTTTCCTTGACAAAACCACAGCTACAGACGGACATCTATTGCCACTGGTACTGTACATGAGAGTCTTCAGGGCCGGACGAGGGCGGCATTATTCTACAACCATTGTCGTCTGACATCAAACTCAAAGAGAAGACGGAGTAGATGATGAGGAAGAAGAAGGAGAAATGGAGAGGAAGCCAGTATGTAAATGGTGCCACAGAGAATTTCAAATGTGGAAAAAAAACTAATTTATATCGGAGCAGCTCAAAGACAGACATATAGATATGAACACGGAATCCAGTTTCAGTTGAATTTATATCAACAGTATGTCCTCTGAATGTCTACATCCTGAAATGCTGCTGTTATAAATTGTGACGGCTGGCATCTGTTCTGGCGCTGCTCCAAACACAACGTTCACAAAGACTCATGTCAGCCTGTCTCTGCTAATGTAGTCAACTGTCAACTTCATCCTCCGTCTTCCTTCTTGTCAGTCATTTGAAATTACCGCTTGCACATTCTCTATATGGCTGTGTGTGTTTGTGCACATTAACACATGCAAATATGTTAGCACAGTAGATGTGTCCCAATTTGAACGGCCGACGAATGTGTTTTTCCACACCGCATTGTGCTTCTATGACACACTGTTTTTTAGAGAAGAATTGGCAGCAGCAAGCGAGACGAAAACATCAGAAAAATGTAAGCACTCAACCAAACACCCAACGGTGCACACGTTAAAAAACAATGTTTCAACTTTTTTAATCAACCAAGGACCTTTTTTGTCCATAGCAGTGTTGCTAGGTGACGTTCCGCAAGTTTGGTTCAAGCTGGTGCAATAAGAAGACCAGACCCATCTCGATTCAGTTCGGCCAACACAGTCTACGCTGCTAATGAAGGATGCAGCTGACATCAGCTGTGTATACCGGGTCCGCCAAAGGATGCAGCCCCTGGATTGACGGAATTTTGGCTGACCCAGAATTATGGAGGAGGAGACAAGACACAGAAGTGGAAACCAAGTGACACAGAGTTGGCCGCTGTTTGCAGAAACACCTCTATCCTGTCAGAAAGCACAGACTGCAACTGTTTATCTCACTTATATCGCAATACAACAGGGTACGGTGGACACAGCTAGTCTGTGTGCTGCAGCGTTAGTCTTCAGTTTTTCCTTATCCAAATAAGTTTGAAACGATAGAGTTAGATCCAATTTTCCACACTTAGTTGAGCGCAATGTCATTATTATAACTATCAGGGATGATTCGGAAGTATTGAACCCGTCTTACAACAAACCAGAATCATCTAAAACAGTAATTAAGATAAAAAAAATATTAACATAGAAATAATAGGTCACAGCATTGCTCATTAATCATTACTCATTCCCATTGTAGTGTATGTTTGAGCTAAGCTGTCTGCAGTGTCTTTCCTGCACTGTAAGCCAACATTAAACAGACGCTGAACAAGAGCAAAACACAGTTATATAACAGGTACGTGAGCGGCCAGGCACAGAGATGAAAGCTCTCAGTCAGTCAGTCAATCATCCAATCAAATAACTCCTCATTCCAGCGTGGAGCCCCGGGGGGGTGCTGATAGCTACCCGACCAGGACAGACCTGGCAACCCACCTGACAGACAGATAGCCGCAGAATTACAGCATCTGGTGGAAAACTAAGCCACGGCCAACAGCTCAAAAACAATACAACTGAACTAAATATAGCATGGAGCACGGAGGCTTAGGTGTGTGTGTATGTGTGTACAGTATCTGAGTGTGTGTTTATGTTTCTACACTTTCACACTCTCGTATCTGAGAACTGGTTGTGATACGGACGGCAGCAGATTGAGAACATAAGCGTGAATGTGAGCGGCCATGCCGTGCGCTCAGATAACAGGCCCCTCCCGCAGACGGAGGGTTCTGGTCTGTTTTGGGGGCAACTCGAGCTTTTCGTCAACATCCGATAACATCGGTGGTGACGACATCTTACTTGAGAACAGCTGCAGATTTCAAAAATGGGGTTAAGTGGCGGTAATGGTGATGCGTTCCCTGTGTTCTTTTGTAGTCTTGCACTGCGTCACACTGACATTAGGCTGACCCGCTAACGGTAACTTCTTCCAAACAAAGGAAGTGGGAAGTGGATATAGTGACCTTATAGTGATCAACCGTTTATATGGATCAAAAGTCTTTCCTATATAAATGCTGTTTAAATTATTTGGTGATAGTGATCAGGCCCAGGGTTCATTTTCAAACTTGTTTGAACCGTAAAAAGTTATTTTTTTACTGGCTCTGTCAGTAATTTACAGCTCCTCTGTGTCTCTAATTCAATCTGCGCACTCCCCATCTAATCGAGCCAAACCGAACACGCCACGCCATTGCATAACTTTACAAATTTTGTTGTTTTATGTATGTGTGTGTCGGGTGTATGTGTGTCGTCAAGAGACCAGCTGAATTATGAATGAATGCTCGCAGCTATGAAGAAAGGTGTTAGTCATTGAAGTATGGATCTTGTGTGATGATCAGTGTTGATACTGTGGCGTCATTTCTAAGGTATTCGAAAGAATTCCATTTACTTCAACACACAACCCTTTATAATATTTGAATATCCAAAAATAGCAGTGGCTTTGTAGCCTTCAAGTTATAAAGAATTAAAGAAAAGACTATTAATATAGAAACAGAAAAAGAGACATGTAGGAAAATGATGAGATTTCAGTTATAAGGTATGACAGTAAGAAAAGAGCACACACACACACACACACACACACACACACACACACACACACACACACACACACACACACACACACACACACACACACACACACANCACACACACACACACACACACACACACACACACCTTTATACTCGAGTGCAAGCCCCATTCCCCCATCCCAGCTTCTCAGTAGTGAAGACCAATGCTTTTCTTAGGCTAATGTTACTTTAAATTTAATTATATTTTGGACTGTTGGTCGGACAAAACGAGACAGTAATACTGACCAAACAGTTATTCAATAGATCGTAAAAAAATAATGGGCACATTAGACCATCATAAACATGCAACAGTTGCAGTCCCAATAAGATTTCAAGGCCATGGAAACCAAGCAGAATTCCTGCTTCTCGACCACACAAACATTCAAAATGGAAGCCAGACACATGGACAAAGAAGAACTGGGTTCCTAAAAGTCAGCACACACTTAATTTGAAGATAAACAAACTCATAATCAAGTCATAAATTAAATCCATTTCGTACAGATAGAAAAGTCCCAGATGGAGACCGAGCTCACACCCCTTGCCAAGTTAGTAGTGATATGTTTATGTTCTTTACACAATCATATTAAATCAGCTCAGTCTACATTCAGGCTGAACACACAGGAGGTGGACTGATCTGACCTCAGTGCTAAATGTCCCAGCAGAGTAAAACTAACCAGCCCCATAGCTGCTCCACAGGTTGAACTCAAGTGAGAGATTAGAATGAGGCTCTGAGCAGGGACTAGATGTTCTTACTATTTAATGCCAAATAGCTGCAGTGACGCAACCAACCACTTATGTCTCCTTCAAAACATGTTCGAATACCATATTTGATCGCAACTGACACCACCTATCGCACAGGTATCTACGATTAACCAGAGACAGGTGAGTCCACTGGTTGCTGGCGAGTGGTGGAGGGAAATCATCCCAAAACATTTAATCATAGTATCTCTGTGTTACCACATTTACGTAGGTTTCCAAGGCAACTGCAGTACATTTTCATAGGTGTAGAAGAGGTGTGGGTATTGGGCAGCAGCTCTGAGGCTGGAAACAGTGCCGCTTTCAGGCATTCCTCACATATTCTGATTATCCAACAGGAGAGAGCCAGCGGAGAGGTGTGAAGGGAGTGGGCCCGAGAAAGAGGTAATGAAAGGTGAAGGAGCCAGGAAAGTTGTCCAAAGTGTTCGCTTGCTTGTGGTGGTTTTCAGCTTTTTAAAAAAAGAATTTAAGCAAGTACTGGGAGATGGAAACGCCTTTTTTTTTTTTTACAATAAGTTCTGACAGCAAACAGTTAACCCACATGAATGATGAGCTGTTTCTCATTCTAGAGAAGAAGAAGATGACCAATAACTTGCCCAACTGAGGAAAAAAGTACCGAGCCCTTCTCTCTATTTTTCTCTCTTTATAGCTGATTTGGTTAAGTTTCTTTGGTGGTTGGCAAAAACTTTTTTTGTTTCTGGTTTATGACCTCAGCTTTTTATACTCGGTTCATTATTGCCATGTTTAATGTAGCCCAGTTTATTAACTCTAAAACGGTTGATGGGAACACGTCTAATTTACTTTTTAAAGGCTTATTATTTAATATTAAGGAAACATGGCCAAAGAGACATAGAGAGACATATTAAGACGTCTACCGTTTGGTCGGAACCAAAATAACAGGTGTAAGTGGTTGCTCGGACAAAGATCTGGAACAAAAGAACAAAAATTTGGTCTGACCAAAAGAGGTTGTCTTTGTCCGGTTGAGACAGCATTAAACAATAGAGGGGAAAAAAGAAGCAGAAGCAGCTCACAGTCTTCAGAGGTGAAGAGTTTTCTGTTTCATACATGCAGATTGCCACTGTGCGCTCATCTGCACCTCAAGGGATAAACTGGAGCTCCAGCTGTGTGTCAGGTCTTTATCAGCCAACGAACCACAGTTAAATCTCTGACCAGTG